TTAAAATAATAAAACAATAAAACACTTTAAAAACATTCTCAAACCAAGCAACACTAAAAGTAGGTAGTACACAGTACACTGTTCATTGACAGTCCGAAATGAATTCTGAAATACTATAAAATGCCCTATAGATAACAGAATCTGAATCTGAACAGGTTTGGCTGATTCCTCTAGTCATCATGTTGCATGGTAAGAAAGTTTGCCGCAGCATATTTTGAGGATTTTTCATAAGTCGAGTAGTTGACAATTTCCAATCTGAATAGTTTTCTTTGACGGGTTGGGTAGTGGTGGTCATCCGCATTTTGAATAAAATGGTTTTTATGAATGTAGGCAGATATTAATAATTTATACAAATAGATATCAACTCGTGAATGTCAATATTCTCTGCAAGATTCTCGAAAACCCAAGTGGAATATCAATCCTTTCTGTATTATAAAGACTCTGGTGCTACCAGTAGCGGGACCATAAACTATAATATTATGACTAATAGAAGAATATACCAATGAATAGTAAACGCTTGTGAGACCTTTTTCATATAAAAGCTCTTTAAAAACCTCAACGCAAAGAAGTGCTTATTCCAGGTGGAATAACTCCAATGCAACTCCAATGCAGTTGTACCATTTTAGGTTTTAGTCGACGATTGTACCCAAAAACTTGGAGCTACTTTGAAATGTGATTGATGAACTGTTTGTATACATTATATATATATATAGGCTCTTCTCGTAGTCGATATGTGGAATTGAATCGTAACAGTCTTCGTGTAGTTTATTATTAAATTGTTCTTCTGACACCACTGGTCGAATTGATTTGATACGTTTCACTAGTTCACCTCTGTTAGGGCCAGAATCATCTGCGAACAAGTAAACCTTTTCATCTTCCACATGGTCCGGAAGGTCATTTATAAATAACAAAAAAATCAGTGGACCCAGGACACTACCCTGAGGAACTACTGAATCCACTAAGAATTCATCAGATGTTTTATCATTCACTCTAACTATCAGTTTCCTCACTTCTAGGAATGAACGGAACCTGTCCTCAATTTTTCCACATATACCGAGTGCATACATTTTTGTGAAGATGAAAGGCATGGGATGAGTAGAAAAACAATCCAATGATTACTTCACCTGTCTCCATCTAATCCTGTATCAGCTGAATCAAATATCTAGTTGCAGTTTCAGTAAAATATCCTTTTCTGAAACCATGCTGGTTTGGGCTGAGTATATTGAACTTTTTTATGTTATTGGTTCAGCCTATGTGCCATCCCTTTCTTCAATTCCTTTGACAATATACTCAGTAATGCAACATGCCTATAGTTGAGCAAGGAATGTCTGTCATTTTTCTTGTAGACAGGTGATACTAAGGATATTTTTAGCCGACTTGGAAATTGACCCGTAGAAGATCAACCGTCACTCATCAGATAACTTGATGAGAGATATTGTCAATCAAATATAATTTATTAACAAACATGCTTATGATAACTTGATTATCAAAAAGTGTTCATAGCTATTTTTAATTGAATTAATTTCAATAATTTTTTATCACATTCAAGAATTGAAGCTATTTGATATGTGCGAGAGAGAAAGTGAACGTCCGAGGTCTGTGTGATAAAAAAGGCACAACATAGCAGCTGCACGCTACCTGACCATCCCTCTCATTGCTCCTAGATACGGTCATTGTNTATTGATTCGCTAGATATTTACTCGAAAAACTCTATATTTTCAACGTTATGAATAAAAAAAATATTAAAAATTCGTTTTGAGTTTTGATTTACCCAACAATAGAGATAAACATTTTGTTCAAATTATCATTTGACAATATGAAGTGTACATTTCAAAAATATTCTCATAATTAAACAGACTCTCCAAATAAATGTTCATTGGAAATGGGGATGGTTGAGAATATTAATTTTTTGACGTTATTTTTGGCATGACTTCTAACCTACTTGGTATATACCATACGATCTCATATATTTGAAAAGCACTTCTCTGACATAATTACATTAAAAAAAAACAAATGGAATATTTGGAAATCGAACCCAATCGGAAAAACGGGGGGAAATTTTCCAATGTTAGAATTATCAATGAATACTTTCTTGATAAATGGTACTCCGAAAGCCTAAACTTCCAACACCCACTTCTCCGACCATAAATATGGTATTACATTTAAAAAAACTGAGAACCTGTGTGATATTAGAATTCAAACTGAATCGTGGTGATTATTTCTTAATATATCACTCAACCCTTAAAGCTCTGGACTGAATGATTCCATACAGTCTATCTCGTCTTGTATTTGTAGATCTTTTGCTAAAAAAATCCTCGCTCGTTTACTTTGTAGTAAATGTTCAAGAGGTAGCAAAAACGTATGTGAAGTTTTGGAGCTTCAACTAACGTTTCCTAATATGACTGATAACCAGTCCGTGCAAAGTTTATTGTTGAATCATCTAGAAATAGAACTTTTAACGAGTTATGATCAACTGTATCACCAAATATGCACCAAACTAACTGACTATTATAAGACAAGTATAGTTGAGGCACCAGTCAATCTAATAATATCACTGATGATCTTCAGACATGACTCAACCCCTGACGGAAGCACCAAACTCTTACGAAAGTTCAAAACAGATGAACACTTCATTCTAGCAGACCACTATTATAATCTTCATGCAGTCATTGTTCACTGTAGTTCTGGCGTTGAATCTGGTCATTATTACTCATTGGTAAAAGACGAAACGGACTGGTTTAAGTTTGACGATAGTCGTGTCACCAAATAATCTGCCGATATCTTGAATTTATTGGAGCCTCTGGAGACACCCTATATTTTATTCTATGAAAGAGAGGACATTGGCAGATCAAGATCTTCAGATAATGTGGTGCTGCAGGTTTTTCCGGGTTTCCCTGCACCTGAAAAAGCAAATGCTCCACTGAAATGAATCAAGTCGCCCCGGAGCGCCAATTAATTTGTGTTGCTGTTATTTCATAATTTTCTAATTTGTATTATAGTCCGGTCAAATTAGACTAAAAAATAAGAGTGCAAAAAGCTGCGAATGCGTGTAATCGTTCAAAACATAATTTGAAATTAGATTTCGAAGTTCTGAATGATTGCGATGCCTGGAAAAAAATGTATTCGAGGTCAAAAGTCAAAAATCTCGAAACAAATTTGTTTTTCGCGATTTTCAGGAAAACGGTAAGTTTTATCATAAAATAACTTCAGATAAAAATTGTAGATCATAAAATTCTCTACAAAAAA